GGGCTCAATATGTTTGTGTTGATGGAGTGAAATACCTCTCATGAGCCATTTAGTTGGTCTGAGCCTTGGTTTATACAACTGGAAAGTGGGGATTTTTTTTTCATGGACTCACCTCTGGGGCCACTTGAAGAATCTGCATGTGTGTGTTGCGGCAGAGAGGTGAGTCCTGCTTCTGACTGCGGTGTGTTTACCTCCTAATTCTGGGGGACGTTGCTGGCAGAGGCCCACAAAGGGGGACAACGAATGGCTGTGGGTGGCAGCAGAGGCTGAGGATCATGACAAGGGAGTCCAGCCCAGGTCAGATGGGACCTCAGGTTCCTGGGGGTTCCCTGCACATGTGCACACATGTCCACATGTGCACACACATGCACACACGCATGCACATGCACACATGCACACGTCCCTGCCTCCTTTGCCTGTGCTGTTTCTTCCTACTTGTGGGTGCTTTTTTGTCTCATCTTTGTCTGTTGAAGACCTTACCATCATCATCGTCATTATTATTTTTTTTTTTAAAGATGATCGGTAAGGGGATCTTAACCCTTGACTTGGTGTTGTCAGCACCACGCTCAGCCAGTGAGTTAACCGGCCATCCCTATATAGGATCCGAACCCGTGGCCTTGGTGTTATCAGCACCGCACTCTCCCGAGTGAGCCATGGGCCGGCCCTCTAACCATCATTATTATTATTTTGTGATTCTTGTCCTGGTTAGAAAAAAATCTTTATTGGATTTTTTGAAACTGTAAAAGTTATACCTGCCAATAAAAATTTTAAACAGTGTCCTACAATGGCTGTTATAAGCCGAGCACTATTATGATTAATAGTGACATTTCTGGAGGCCCTGGGCTGAGTGCTTCACAGGCTGTCTGCATCCTGCAAAGTGCAGTGATGAACGGGTTCTGTTATACCCATTTTGCACACAAGGAGCTCGAGGCTGTGAGGGAATAGGGCAGCTGGCAGGGCTGGTGTCTGGCTGGGCACCTGGGCTGGAGGGCAGGCCTCTTTGTCTTCCAGCCTGCTCATTAGCAGCACCTAGCGCTGAGTCAGAGAGGGGTGGGCGTGTGGATGAGAAAGTATGGAAGGCTGGCACATGACCTCAGACTGCCCCACCCCAGCATCTCTTTACCTCCCAGAAGCCAGGGCCTCCCAGTTCCTGGGCCCAGGAGCCCCGAGGCTGGCCCTGCCTCTGGAGGTGGGGCCACAGCCTGTTTTCTCTCTGCCCTCTGAGGAGGAGGGATGCCCTGGGGCCCTGTGGATGGTGGTCAGAGCCAGGGCTGGGAGGGGGTCGGCAGTCTGCAGCTGTAACCTTGATTGCCTCAGTCTTGCTGTGTGACCTCAGGTGAGCCCCTCACTCTCTCTGGCTCAGATTCCCCTTTGGGGTGACAAACCTTGGTCTCAAAGCCCATCTGACATCTGTCCCAATTCCATGGCATGTGCTGTATCCAGAGGCTGTGGGAGGAAAGTGGAAGACCTGGTGTGGGTGGGTGTGGAAGAAAGAGGGGCACCGAGGCCCCTGGCACCATGCAGAGACACCCAGGCAGGGACACTGCGGTGGGAACTGGAGTGGTAAAGTCCTGCTGGCAGCTCCAGGGAGATAGCTGCTGCAGGGCGGCAGGAAGGAACGTGGGGTGCTGAGCAGCATTTACAGAGAGGGCTGTAGAGGACCCCCATGGCCAGGGGACCACCTGGATCACCGTGGCCTCAGAGCTCAGCAGGCTGGGGGCGTGGCAAGGCCTGGCTCTCCTGCCTGGGTCTTCTTCCAGCAGGGTGTCGCCAGAGGGCCCTGCACGACCCTGTTCCAGGCTTCTCCCCTATGAGCCCTTTGTCCAGGCTGGACCCCCTCTGAGTGTGGCTGGCTTTTTGGGTCCTTCTGGCCCCACAGCCCCTGAGTCCTCCTCTGTTTCTGGGGCATTTCCTTTGCACCAAGCACGTGGCAGTTTCTCCCTAGCTGAGTTAGGACATCTTTCAAGAATGTGCTTGGGGCTGCCTCTGCCAAGAAGCCATCCCGCGGCCCTGTCCCCCCCAGTCTTCCTTTTCCAGCTTCCTTTCCAGTCTTCCTTGGCTGCCAGATTTATGCTGAGCGTACCCAGTTCCCTGATACTGCTCCATATCATCCTCTTAGTCCTTAACCCCTTGCAGAACGCTGCCACCCCATCCCTTGCCTGGCACTTCTCCAGTGTCCTGATGCCTGCCCTGCGGCCTTCCCCCATCCCTACTAGTGACCATTTGGCGATTAGACCACCACCCCCCCGCCTTGCAGGGCACCCACTTATGCCAGGCCAGGCGCCAGGTTTCCAGCAGTGAGAAGGAGCCTGGTCCACCTGTGGGGTTTGCAACCCTTAGACAAATACTAGCATCCTTCCCTATCCCAGTCCATCTGGCTCCTGAATTCACAGAGCAAGACTGGGCACTGAGAAATCCCACACTCTGATGTGTTTGGTTCTAGAATTTCAGGTAGCAAAGCGTTCATCTAAAAGTGGATCCAGATCTATATACAGCCATGTGCCATATAACAGTGGATCACATATACAACAATAGTCCCAAATGATTTAATGGAGCTGAAAAATTCCTTTTCTGTGTTTAGATACACTAATACCATTGTGTTACCGTCATCTACAGTATTCAGGACAGTACACGTGCTGCACAGGTTTGTAGCCTAGAAGCCATAGGCTGTGCCACATAACCTCGGTGTGGAGTGGGCTGTACCACGTAGGTTTCTGTAGGTGCGTTCTGTGATGTTCACACAGTGACAAAATCGCTTAACAATGCATTTCTCAGAAAGTGTCCCAGTCACTCAGTGACGCATGACTGTAGTTCTTGATGTTGGATAGCAAGGCATGTCTATAACTACAATTGCATGAAATTAGGGCCGTGGCCACTGCAGTCTGTTTTAGGGGTGCAGCGTGTGTGGGGCTGCCTCCTCTCTTCCCTCTCTATTAAGTGGAGCTCCCTCAGGCACCCTGTCCCCTTCTCCATCCTCTACCCTGTGACGACTTCTTCCCCAGCCCTGTGCCCTCCTCTCCTGGACTCTGGCCCCACAGTCTCACCTGGATAACTCGTCCGTGCCCCAGCGTGACTGATCCAGAATGAATCTCATCTCGGCCCTCCCGCCCGTGCCCTGGCCCCTCTTGGCCCCAATGCTTTAGGCCAGTCAGCAGCACCCACTTGGCTCAGGACGCAAGCCTCAGCCTTGTCTCAGCCTGTGGCTCCCATGCTGACAGGCAGCGGGTCACCACGTCCTTCTGCCTCTCACTTCTATAGTGCTTCCTGCAGCTTCCTCCCAGCCCACAGCCCCCCCTGCCCCTCAATGGCATGTGCCTGGGTCTTCTCCTGGCTCAGCCTTGCCCTTCTGTCCCCTTCCCCAGTCCAGCCCAGGGGTCCTCCTGAATGCAGCTCCTCCTGCCTGAACTTGGTTCTGAGCTGTGCTGACCCTGCAGCTGAGAGTGGGCTGTGGTCAGGCAGACCTGGGTTCGAGTCCTCACACAGGATTGAAGCTTCCTCTGGGGCCTGGCTCCTTCATGGTCAGGGTGGCAGACTCCAGCCCTTCGGGAAATAATGTTCCGTCTGAGGGATTGGTGCACTGGGGCTGGTTGGGTCTCCCAGAGCTGTGGCTGAAGGACCCTCGAGAGCCACAGGCCCAAGGCTGCTCATCCTGTGGTCACGCTGGTGGATGCCCATTAGGTAAATTCCTTTTCTGTGTTTAGATACACTAATACCATTGTGTTACCGTCATCTACAGTATTCAGGACAGTACACGTGCTGCACAGGTTTGTAGCCTAGAAGCCATAGGCTGTGCCACATAACCTCGGTGTGGAGTGGGCTGTACCACGTAGGTTTCTGTAGGTGCGTTCTGTGATGTTCACACAGTGACAAAATCGCTTAACAATGCATTTCTCAGAAAGTGTCCCAGTCACTCAGTGACGCATGACTGTAGTTCTTGATGTTGGATAGCAAGGCATGTCTATAACTACAATTGCATGAAATTAGGGCCGTGGCCACTGCAGTCTGTTTTAGGGGTGCAGCGTGTGTGGGGCTGCCTCCTCTCTTCCCTCTCTATTAAGTGGAGCTCCCTCAGGCACCCTGTCCCCTTCTCCATCCTCTACCCCATGACGACTTCTTCCCCAGCCCTGTGCCCTCCTCTCCTGGACTCTGGCCCCACAGTCTCACCTGGATAACTCGTCCGTGCCCCAGCGTGACTGATCCAGAATGAATCTCATCTCGGCCCTCCCGCCCGTGCCCTGGCCCCTCTTGGCCCCAATGCTTTAGGCCAGTCAGCAGCACCCACTTGGCTCAGGACGCAAGCCTCAGCCTTGTCTCAGCCTGTGGCTCCCATGCTGACAGGCAGCGGGTCACCACGTCCTTCTGCCTCTCACTTCTATAGTGCTTCCTGCAGCTTCCTCCCAGCCCACAGCCCCCCCTGCCCCTCAATGGCATGTGCCTGGGTCTTCTCCTGGCTCAGCCTTGCCCTTCTGTCCCCTTCCCCAGTCCAGCCCAGGGGTCCTCCTGAATGCAGCTCCTCCTGCCTGAACTTGGTTCTGAGCTGTGCTGACCCTGCAGCTGAGAGTGGGCTGTGGTCAGGCAGACCTGGGTTCGAGTCCTCACACAGGATTGAAGCTTCCTCTGGGGCCTGGCTCCTTCATGGTCAGGGTGGCAGACTCCAGCCCTTCGGGAAATAATGTTCCGTCTGAGGGATTGGTGCACTGGGGCTGGTTGGGTCTCCCAGAGCTGTGGCTGAAGGACCCTCGAGAGCCACAGGCCCAAGGCTGCTCATCCTGTGGTCACGCTGGTGGATGCCCATTAGGTATGATGGTCTCTGAGGGCCGCATCCACTTCCGAGCAGGCAGATACTCTGGGTTGTGTAGTCCAGGCCCCTTCATTCACCAGGTGTGGTTCTCCCCAGCTCCTTCTCAAAGAACCTCAGTTTACTCATCTGTCAAATGGGGTGAGAACACTTGCTTCACAGGGTAAACAGGTTGTGCCTGGGAGCAAGGAGGGTGCACACGATGTCGACTGATGCCGATGTCATCAGCGGCCTTGTCTTTATCCCTCTGTGGGTAGTAGGAGTGTGTTTGCCCAGGAAATACTTGTTGAGTGAGGGATAGGAGGCTTCCTGGGGGTGAGCATGGGCTGGACAAGGCACCAAAGCCCTTTGGGAAGGAGACACTGTGACTGGCCCAGGTATGGGGCTGGGGGCAGACGGTGCAAAGGAGGGGAGGGGGTGTGGGGAGTGCAGACGGGCTCTGAGTCCCTGGCTGGAAGCTGCTGCTCCTGAGTCTGAGCACTCGGCAAGACATGACTGGCCCAGGTATGGGGCTGGGGGCAGACGGTGCAAAGGAGGGGAGGGGGTGTGGGGAGCGCAGACGGGCTCTGAGTCCCTGGCTGGAAGCTGCTGCTCCTGAGTCTGAGCACTCGGCAAGAGGGCAGCCCTTGCCTCCGGGGATGGTGTCATTCCCTACAGCGACCTTCACCCTCTTCACCTCTGGGTGCCCAGGCAGGTGGCAAAGGGAGGAGTGACAAGGACCCATTGGCCTCCCTCTGGGGTGTCTGATTGTCTGAGTCAGTCCCCTGGAGGTGGGACCAGAACCAGCTCAGCCAGTGACTGGGTGCCAGGCATTTAGGATCATTAGTGGCCGAATTCTTGTGACTACCGGGCTTTGAAGTGGCCCTTGCTTGCCTTGCCCTCTCCACCCCCCAAGTCTTTCCTGTTGGCCTCCTCCAGGCTGCCCAGGTTGTCCTGTGCTCACCCTGTGAGGTGTGGAAGCAGTGAAGTGCCACAGACCAGCCCTCTCAAACCCCATGGTCTGGTGGCACCTGGCTCCACATGCTCCCCTTAGCTGGTGGCTTGGGCAGTTGATTCAACCTCCAAGGCTCAATCTCCTCATATGACAGACAGTGCCTCCCCCACAGGGCTGTGGGAGGACTCAGTGAGAGAGTGAATGGCCGCAATGAGGGAAGCCAGGGGATTGCTGAGGGAGCTTGAAGCCTGACTTGCCAGGTAACTGCAGACTAGTGGTGTCACCTTGCTGAGCCTCAGTTTCTCTGTAAAATGGCCTTCAGAGAGAGGAGTCGTCATGAGCCAGAGAAGTCAGAGCAGCTTTGTGGAGGGAGTGGGGAGCTCATGGGGCCCCAGAGGCCAGAGAGATTGGGATGATTGGGAAGGTCTCTCAGGAAGGGGAGTGGTGTGGACCGTGCAGGGTGTGGGGCAGGCACCAGGGGAGGTGGCAAAGAAGAAACAAGAGCTCGAGAACTGGGGGCTTGGGGTCATCTCATTCCTCCTTCCCCTCCCCTCAGTGACTGAAAATGTGTCCATAGGCCATGAGACTGAAGGGGCAGGAATCAAAGCAGCTCACTTCAGAGCTGGCCATCACCTGATCTGGCTTTGAGGATTTGTTACCCTTTGGTGTCTTCCCAGCTGGAGGGACAGCTAGAGGTGTTAGCTCAGTGGGTGTTGGATGGGAGAGCTGCACACAGGCTGGAATGAGACTGGAGTCTTTCTGCAGGGATGTCTTTGCTGAGTGCATTGGGTCAGGTTCTGGGGCCACTACACTCTCCCTGGCCCTGCAGATGCTCAGGGAGAGAAAAAGTAAACCACCAGTTACACAAGAAAATGGGAGCCACGAAGATGCCAGGGTGAACACAGACAGTGGAGGCCTGATCTCATCGGTTGGGGTGGCCCATGAAGGCTTCCTGGAAGAAGGGCCATCTCATCTGAGGACCTGGCAGTGGAGGAAGTTTGCTGGGAGAAGAGAATATCAGACCGAAGGAATGGCATGTGCAAAGGCCCGGAGCGGAGCCTTTAAATGGCTCGCCCAGGATGGTGGAGGCAAGACCAGAGCCAAGTTCCAGATTCCTAGCCAACGGCCCCAGCCTGCTCAGGGTGCAGGGGAGATCAGGACTGTGTCAGGGCCTCTCAGAGCATCACATGCCCCTTTGCTTTTGGACCCCAAAGGGCCTTCTCTTCCCCTGATGTCAAGGCAACCTCCTGACCTGTGACAGTAGAGGGGCAGAGGTGCCTGGATATGGCCTGGCCTGAGTGTCTGGCAGGTGCATACCTGTGTGGTTGCAAAGGAGAGGAGGCCTTGGATCCAGCCCAGGTGAGCAGGGCCAGAATTGCTCCCATATCTGGAAAAGAAATGCCACAGACAGCCTGGGTCCCAATAGCCCAAGACAAGAGGGACGAGCTATGGCGCTGAGCTTTTTCTCTCCGTGAGACCTGCCTTTGACATTGGCAGAGTGCATAGTCATTGCTGGAACATGGAAAGTAACAAGAATAGTAAAATGAAATCACCCATGATCCCAGAAAAGCAGAGATTTTTGGTCCCATTTCATCACTCAGGAAACCAACCGTCACGATGTTGTCATGATAATGTCATAATAATAGAAATGAATAATAATATTAATCGTCATCAGGATAATAATAGCAATTGTTTTTGTTAGAAACAATAATAGAAATAAAAATAAAATAAAAATAATAATAATGATAAAATAGTAGTACTAATAAAAACAGAAATAATAATAAAAACAGCAGTTGTCTTGTGCTGGGAACTGTTCATTTAGCCTGCTCGACACTGTTCCTGCTGTCCACAGATGTGGACATTGAAACTTGTCCAGGCTTCCGTGGTGGGTGGCGGCGTGGGGACTGGAGCCACAGTTTACTGACCCCGGGTCCTGTGCCCTCACCCACCGTGGCATCGGACAGCTTTGCGAAGTGTCTAAAATATTTTGCCTGGGCTGTCAGCTGTCATTTCCTGCAGGCCTTCCAGTTGAAACACAGCTCTGCCATTTGAAAGTCTTAAAAATAAAGCCCACACCTATAGCCAGCCACCCAGCTGGGGGTGGACTTGGTAGGGGGCTGGGTGCTGAGTGACTGCCTGGGCCGTGAGCTTCTGCACAGCCTCCTGCTGGGCCTGTCTCTGACCCTGAGTCCCTGCCCCTGAGTCCAAGGAGGCCTGGTGGGGGCAGGGTCTTACTAGGGTGTTAAGAAAACTGTCTGCTCCCTCTTTCTAGAAAAGACAGGGGACCCCAGTGCTGGGTTTAGGCTGTCTAAGTATAGACCACTGAGCGGCAGCTTTGTGACTTGGGTAAAGCCCACTGTGTGTGGGGTTGGTGGGGGTGGTGGTAGGGGGAACCATTTTCTTTTCCTGTAAATATTTTTATCCCCGGTAGGAAGCGGTCTGCGGTCCTATTGTTCGATTACAATGGGTCTCCTTTTCCAAGGGTGTTTTGTGTTTCCCCTTAAGAGTAAGACTAGCAGGAGGGAGATGGGGAGGGGGGACACTGTGAAGGGCCCTAAAGGGCAAGATGAGCCAGGACTGGGGCCCCCACACCTGACCCCAGCTGCAGGGGCAGACCCAGGAGCACAGCAAGGAAGCCAGAAAGGTTTCAGCCACTAAAATAATAATTTTTCCGATTATTACATATGATAAACATTTTTCTTTTGCAGAAGGCAGCATATTTATTGTAGAACAAATAGAACCTGCAGAGAAACAGAGAGGAACACTAGACTCCCCAGAGTTCTTCCACCCAGGAGTGAGCTGTTCCACTGTGGGTCAATATCTCCCTTCCAGAAGCGTCCTGGTGCTCGTCTGCTCAGGAGGCACCCGCACCTGGATGGCCATAGCTTCAACTTGGGCTCCCACCTCTAGTCTGAGAGGGAGTCTAGCCCCTCCCCCACCCCCAGATAAGTCAGTCCACAGAGCTGGGAGACTGTCACATACTCTGAGTGACCTTAATGGTGGGATGGCAGCTTCAGTGTACTGTGCATGTACTGCCAGCCAGGTACCAACTACCACTGACTGACCCCATTTTGCAGATGAGAAAACTGAAGCTCAAAGAAGTGAAGAGACAGGTCCAAGGTCACGCTGTGAGTCAGGCAGAGCTAGGGCTTTGTAGGAAAGTCTGGGCGTTTCTGCAGCCTATACACGGCACCAATCTGCCAGGTCAGACATCAAACACCCCCTGACTGCAGCCCCCACCACCCCACCCAGATTCAGGGAGGCAGTCTTGTGTCAGCTGTCAGAGCTGGGGAGGCTCTCTGGAGCCACCTTGTTTAAGTTTACATTGCCCTGAGGGGACACTGAGGCCCAGGGCTCGGGAGAGACTTGCCCAGGCACTGGGCCTGCAGCAGTGGGTAGGTGGGGAAGCAGCCTGCTCCCCAGACCCAGCCAAGGTAGCTGTGCCTGCCTAGGCCAGGATGGAGCAGGAGACCCTGCTCCCAGCTAGGCCCTGAATCGGTGCCTGGCCTGGGCCCAATTCCTGGCCTTGCCACTGCCCTGCCTGGACGCTGGCTGAGCCCCTTCACTGCCCTGAGCCTCACCCTTCTCATCTGCCAAATGGGTGAGATGCAGCCCTGCCCTGGAAGACTCTGCGAGACCGGGGGATGGAGGATGCACTGCAGGGAGTGAGCACACAGGCACTGCTGGCCGCTGTCACCTTGGGGGAGACTGGGCCTCACTCCCCATGCCCTCCCCGCCCATAGGTGCCTCTGGATGAGCGCATCATCTTCTCGGGGAACCTCTTCCAGTACCAGGAGGACAACAGGAAGTGGAGGAACCGCTTCAGCCTCGTTCCCCACAACTATGGACTGGTGCTCTATGACAACAAAGTGGTGAGCCGCCGCCCCAGCCCCAGCCGGCCTGCTTCCCCGTCTCTCCACGCTCCTGGGCCAGCTGTCCCCGTCTGTGCTAGGTAGTGCCACATGCCCTCCTAAATCCCAGGCTCCAGACCCCACCCGCACAGCCAGGCGTCTCCCCACACTGTTGCCAGGGCCAAAGCACACCTCCCCACCTCCCCAGCTCCCCAGCCTGCTTGCCGTCCTGCATCCCTTCTCCGAATGGCAAGTCCATCCTTCATCCAGGTACTCAGCTCTCGGGGGTCACCTTTGACTCTGCCTCCACCTCATCACCACCTGTCACAAGCCCCCCTCATCCCCCATCACTCCCAAGTCCCTCCAAATCCTTCCATCCCCAGGGCCCTAAGCCTGGCCCTCCTTCCACCTCAGCCTCCTTCCTGGCTGGGCTTCCTGCCTCTGCTGGACCTTCCCACCCATGCTCTTCAACAGCCATCATGAGCGTGGAAAATGGTGTCGCCATTCCCTGCCCCAGGCTTGCCCCTGCTGTGTCTGCTTTATGGGTCGTGGCCCCATATTTTTCCTTCCTGATTCCTCCCTGGCAACCTCCTGACCTGTGGGAGGGTACGTGTCTGAGAAGGGCTGGGAGCTGACTGTGCCTTATCTTTGCCTTGGGCCCTTGGGGAAACCCCTCAGGGTTGAGCCACAGACCCGATTTTTTCTACCAAACATTTCTACAGAGCAGCCAAAAGGACAGGGCTGTTCTCCTGTTTCAAGGCAGGTCAATGTTGGAGTAATTCGAACGGATCGGGAGCAACCTCATACCCCAGAGTAGTGGTTCTCAAATGATAGGGTACATCAGAGTCACCTAGAGGGCTCCTGAAAAAACAGGTTGCTGGGCCTACCCCCAGAATTTGATTCAGGTCTAGGGTGGGCCAAGAACTGCATTTCTAACAAGTTCTAGGGTGATGTTGAAAATCAGGGACCACCCTTTGCAAATCGCTGCCTTAGAGGTTCTGAGCTGCTCTCAGGAAGTGTGTTGAATAGTGACACCTAGTGGCAGGCAGCAGCATGGCAGCCCTGCATATGAGCTATTACGTTGGAGGTGCGTTTTCCCCCACCGGTGTAAGAAAGCTGTGTCCAGACCTGATTCTCCTCCATAGGAGACTTGTGTGATGCATAGAACCTAGGAAGCTGGTGGGCAGTTCAGGGTAATGGCCAGAGACCCTAAGCTCTGGAGGCAGATAGCCCGGGTTCGTGACCTGGGTCTGCTACGTCCAGCTGTGTGGCTAATCCACCTCATGGACTGTGAGAACTCTGTGAAATGAAGCATGCAGTGCCCTTAGCACAGTGCCTTATGTGCAGTAGACACGCAGCTAGTGGAACTGCTGGTGACAGAGGCGATAGTAGCCCCAGTCAGAATGATAACCCCCGCCACAGCAAAGCTTGCTGAGTCCTCGCTGTGTGCCCAGCACGGTGCTAAGCATTTTATGTGGGTTATCTCACTTAATCCTCACACAGCTCTGGGAGGTAGCGACTGTTATTCCTCTGGTTTTATAGAGGAGGAAATTGAGGCGTGGGAGGTTCAGGAGGCTTATCCTCGACATCACACAGTCAGTACCCAGTAGAGCCAGGAACTGAGGCCAGCGCCTGGGTCTAGGTTGCTACACTATGCTGTCACCATGGTAGTCAAACTTCTCTCTTTTTCCCTCTTTTCCTCTCCTGCCTCCTTCTTCCTTCTGCTTCTCCTCCCTGCCTTGGACAGGCAACACTGAGTAGGGACCTGGAGCCAGAGCTGGAGATGGGGTTTGGGCTTTGGCCACACCTTTAATCCTCAGGGACTGTCTCTCTTGCCCCCTCCTCAGGCCTATGAGCGGCAGGTCCCACCCCGAGCCATCATCAACAGTGCAGGCTACAAAATCCTCACCTCCGTGGACCAGTATCTGGAGCTCGTTGGCAGCTCCTTACCAGGTAAAAGACCACCCATCCCATGCCAAGACACTCTGCACACGGGCCTCAGGAGTTGTGCAGGGGAGGGGCGGCCCTGAGCGCATGGCTGCAGGCCCTACATTTATAGAGAGATCAACTAGGCCTAAAGCTGTCGCCAGGTGCCAGGCACACCTCCGTCTCATGGGCTGAGAAGTGGAAGTCTTCCTGAGGCCACACTGTGGATGGGGGTGGACCAGTGAGGGTCCCCACTCGAGGCCCACCAATTCCTGAGCCTTACATCGCACAGCTGTGGAAGGGGGATCTTGCCCTCTGCCCTTCCCCCTCCCCGAGTCCCTGAGAGCCTCCCCAGAGAAGGTGATTGGTGGCTCTGCCTTGTAAACTGCCAGATGAATACTGCATTTGTGAGGAGTTGCTCTTCTAGGGTCCTGTTTCTACCCCTGTGGCTGAGACTCCCCAGAAACCTTACAGGAACAGCTGCTGCCTCTCAAATGAACCCCTAGGAGCTAAGGGGCAGGGGAACATGCCATCCTGGGGGGCAGGTTGTGTCCCCAGCTGGGGCTTGGGGGTCCAGCCCCCTATAGTGGTTGAGGGCTCAGCTGGAGCCCAGCATTCCTGGGTTCCTGCCCTGACTTGGCTTTTTGTTTTTGCCGTGTCTGCCAGGCGAGTGCTTTTCCCCCTCTGACCTCGGCTTCTTAGCATCTGCGAAGCATAGGCACCAAGAGGACTGACCCTAGGGTGTTGTGTAGCCTCTGGGAGGAGCTGTGTGCGCTGAGCCCAGCACAGGCCAACAGAGCCAGTGTTCAGAGAAGAGCTGTTATTGTCATATTATTAACAGCATTGGCAGGGTCACAGCCCAGGACCAGTTATCTTGCAGGATCTCAAATATGCGTGAGGACAAAATAGAGAGAGAGAAAAATTCTTTTTTATTTATTTTGTTTTCCCCACCCCACATGCCTCTCCCCAACTTGGACATTTAAACGACACCTTGGCCTCCACAGCTGAAATCCGAAGGGAAACCCAAGAAGGCAGTGATTGGCCTGTGAACCCGAGGCTCTACCCCTGTGAGATTTGTGCCCTACATGACAGGGAGGTAGATGCGACTTATCACCAGCTCTAGGAAATGGGTCTAACCAGATGCTGATTCTGAGGTTAGCGGCCTGTGGAGGACTCAGCCAGAAAGAAACCCACTGCCTCCCACCGTCTCGCTGGTCACCCCAGGACAGGCTGATCTTCTAGGCCTGAGCCTGCCTCTCAGAGCCCTGCTGCCCTTTGGCCGAGGGAGACTGCACAGGGCAGCTGCTCAGCAGGTGCTGTCTCCACAGGGACCACATCAAAATCAGGAACCGCCCCCATCCTTAAGTGCCCCACGCAGTTCCCGCTCATCCTCTGGCACCCTCATGCACGTCACTACTACTTCTGCATGATGACGGAAACCGAGCAGGACAAGTGGCAGGCTGTCCTGCAGGACTGCATCCGGCACTGCAACAATGGTGAGCAGGGGGCAGGTAGGGGGGCACCTGGGCCAGTGTGCTGAAGGGCGACACCTCGTGGCTAAGTGCAGTGTGGCAACCCTGCTCTATGAGCTCTTCTAATACCCCTTCTGGGATTGTAAGAAACCATTGTGATACCACCTTAATCTTTTTCCTTGTTGAAAACACTTCTGTGTTGCTTAGGAATAATAGGAAGTTGTTCACAGAGGGGTGTGATTGTTGGGTCCTTGGACCCTGGAGCACAAAATCATAATCCGGATTCTGCCTTTTTCTAGCAATGTGACCTTAGGAGATTTACTTACCTTATGGAGCCTATGTACTATGAGGGTCATGATCCCTCGTGTACCTTAGGGGGGTTTTGAGGACTCACAGTGAGAGTCCACTCCATGCTTGGTAAAGTTTTTTTTAATATCTTTTATGTCTTTACCACCAATGTGCAGGGTCGTCTGGGAACTTCACTTTCTCCCTCAGGGCCTCAGTATTCCCATCTGTAAACTTACACAGTGACTTCCAGCTCACTCATTTACTCAAAAATATCTTTAGTCTTCACTCTGAGGCAGGCTCAGATCTGGGCACTGAGGATGCAACAAGGGAACACGACCTGTTCCCTGCCCTCGGGCAGCCGGCAGTCTGGTGCAGAGACAGAGGTTAAGCAGATGAGGACACCAGGGAGCCTTGAGGGTGTGCACATGAGGGGTTGGTCAGGGCAGGCTCCCTTGAGGAGGTGATGGTGCTGCTGAGACCTGAAGGCTGAAGAGTCACAGAGTAGAGGGGAGGAATGTTCCAGCATGAAGGGAGACCCAGAGGCAGGAGTGGGATGGAGGAGGAACTGCCAGGGGCCCTGAACTGGGAGGGGGTGACCTGAAGTGGAGATGTGCAGGGCTCTGGGGTCAGGCCTGGAAAGGCCTTGTAAGGCTCTCAGGACTTTCATCTTAAAGGCTTAGGATTGTCTCCCAAGATGATGGTGGGGCCCTGGGGATCTTCCTGCCCTCAGGGAAGCAACAACCTTGTCCTGGACCCTGAACTTCTTCCTGGGGATCTGGCCTCAGGGAGGCAGAGGGAGGCACCTACCCCGCCCCCGCCCCTGACCCCACCCTTGGTGGAGGGACAGTGTGGGCACCAGAGGCCTCTGGGTTGGTTGTGCCCTGACTCACCCACTCCAGCTTGACTCTCAAGCTGCCTCCGCCCCATCTGGAATCTGCCAGGTGGGAGGAACCAGGTCTTCCATCAGGCCAAGCCCTGCCACCTGGGCCAGGCTTTGCTGCCCACAAACAGCCTTCTGTTCCCAGGTCCCCCGGGCTGTGGGGCTGTGACCAGGGGAAGCTCTAGTCTGGCTGCCTGGTCTGGGGCGCCTGCCTGCCCTCCCAATCCCCCGGCCCAGCCTCATCCTCACCAGAATTCCAAGGCTAGTGGCTGCCTGACATGGTGGTGTGGGTGACCCCGGGCCAGGTGGGGGAAGGGGTGGGGACTGAACAATGTGGGAAGAGCCACCATGTGGCTCCCATGTATACGGTGGGATGATGATCAACCCCAGCTCGAGGGGTAACTGGGAATAGTAAGTGAGCTGGTTTGGCTGAGCTCTTGTCCCCAAGCCTGGCACATAGTGAGCGCTCAGCTGGGAGGCTGTGGGGGAACTTCTTGGGCCTGGGGTGCTGTGGGCAGGAGGTCAGGCCGGGGAAGGAAAGGGTGTCCTGTGACAGGAAGATGTCCCACTAGGGCGGCACCCTCACCCTGGGGCAGGAGCTGACAAGCTGGTTTGAGACATGAGCCTTTCCTCCGCCCTAAGGACTGTGAGAAAGTTCTCTCTGCTTCCTCCGTCTCAGAGGCTGGACCTGGAATTTGTGGAGCCTGGAATTGCTCACTCTGGGGGCTGCCAGGAAGTGGGGGTGGGTGGGGAAGGAGGCCAAGCTGGGTGGGCGCCAGCTCGTCCCGGGGCCCCCCTCACATCCTGCATTCCTGGAGCAGCTGGGGGTGGCAGGAGGCTGCCGGGCACTGGCTACACTGAGGCCTCCATGTGGGCCTGGGGTGCAGAGGTCAAGGCCTCTTCCTGTCAGACCGTGGTCCCCTCTGCCTGCGCCCCCTCACATCCTGCATTCCTGGAGCAGCTGGGGGTGGCAGGAGGCTGCTGGGCACTGGCTACACTGAGGCCTCCGTGTGGGCCTGGGGTGCAGAGGTCAAGGCCTCTTCCTGTCAGACCGTGGTCCCCTCTGCCTGCTGCTCAGGACTGAGGAATGCGCTTTCCTTTCTCAAAACGAAGCCATCTGGCTCAAGTCAGCTGTCCTGGATTCCCACCCTGCTCCTTCTTTCCCTGGCTGTGTCCTTGAGCTGGTAACTTTGCCTCTCTGAGCCTCAGTTTCTTCATCGAGAAAAGTGGGGCTGGCCCAACCCAGCCTCACAGGGTGTAGAGGATTAAATGAGCTGGTGCGTGTGGAGCCTCAGCCCAGGGCTGGTATCTGGTTCCCAGGGCTGCCATAACAAAGTGCCACAGACTGGGCGGTTCACACCGCAGAAATTTATTTTCTCACTGTTCTGGAGGCTGGAAGTCTGAATCAAGGTGTTGTCAGGGTTGGCTTCTTCTGAGGCCTCTCTTCTTGGCTTGTAGATGGCTGTCTTCTCCCTGTGTCTTCCCGTGGTTGTCCTTCTGTGTGCACGTGTTTGCTTTCTTCTTTTAAGGACACAGTCGTGCTGGATTTGGGCCTGTCTTAATCCCCTCAATTTAACTTATCTCTTTAAGACCCTATGTCCAAATATAGTCACAGTCTGAAGTCCTGGGGGTTAGGGCTTCAACATATGAATTTTGGGGGGACACAATTCAGCCCATAAGAGCTGGGTTTATGGAAAGAGCTGAGGAGGGGTGATGCCTGCTCTCGTCAAACTCAGCGGCTGGGCGTGCAGAAAGAGAGGGTCCAAGGGTCTGAGGCTGCGTGTCTGGCTGTCCAAAGCCAGGGCCTGGAACATTGCAGCCGCCTTCCTGCGGCCCCAGCCCTCTGCCCCACTTTCCTGCCACCTGGAAAGCAGCCTCTGCCCTGCACACCTGACTTGCTGAGTGCAGAATGTAAATTCCCTGATGTGGGAGAGGCTACGTGTAATGTTCTGCCTGGATTTTCCAAGCAAAGCCCAGTCTCCAGGAGACTGTGCCCTCCTGAGAGCCTGGGGTGGGGGTTTCTCATCTGGCCCAGGTGGGCAGCCCCCAATAGCTCCCAGGGGCACACTGCATGCCACCCCAGCTGGAATGCCCCTGCTCTGCTTCCGTCACTCCTGCCTGACCTCAGGTCCCTGAAATGCAGGGTTAGGCTCACCTATGTCCCCACTCCAGTCCAGGGAGCTGGGCCTCAGTTTCCCCAATGCCCAGCTCCCTTCTGGCTCTGACAGGCAGTGATTCCTGTGGTCAGCCAGGTGTGGGGAGGGGCTCTCTCCATGCCAGAGAGGGGCTTTTTCTCTGTGGGAGGTGACTCAGCCCATAGTCATTGCGGCGGGAGCTGGGGTTTCTAGTGCTCAAGTTGTCGTTTCCTCTTCCCGGCTCTGGGGACATGTCGGTCAGAGGCACACAGCTGCAGCCAGGGAGCCCCCGCTGCTGGCATGTTTACCCACGTCTCCCTGCAAGGCAGGTTTTGCAACTTCCTGCCACTTGCCTCTTACTGGCTACCTCACCAGGTTCAGGGCTGTTGCCACCACTGACAATAACAAAGTGTAGAAATAGCATTTTTCTAGTTGTCAATAATAAACCCTTCCATTTACTCTCTAGTGAAGTTCTTGTAGCATCAATGCCAGGCACTGACCTGGATACACAGCGAACGAGACAGACAAGCCAAAGCTGCTTCATCAGCTATTGATAGAAAGCACGAAGCGGGCGGTGCTGGGCCTGACCCCGCTCCTACGCTCCTAGTGCCTCACCGTGCACAGCGTCCCCGCACTGTGGCCCACGGAGCCCCCAGAGGATGTATGAGGCTAGGCCAGGGTCATTGTTCCCATTGTTTGGAAGAAGAAACTGAGGCCCCTTTGGGTTCAAAGGTCTATAACAAGGCTCAGCCATCTGCGGCCTATGGGCCAAATCAGCCAATCGCCTATTTTTGTCAATAAAGCGCATTGGAACAGAGCCACGCGCATTCGTTTATGGATTGCCTGTGGCTGTTTTCATGCTGTAATGGCAGAGATTGGCTGCAAGCTGGAAATATTTACCATCTGGCCCATTTCAGGGAAGTTCGCAGAGCCCTGATTTAGCAGTAAGGGGAGGAACCAGGACGAGGACAGGATCTCTAGGCAGACTCTCAAGAGGGGGTGGCTTCCAGTCCTGTTCTGCACTTGCTGCCCTGTGACCCCAGTCAGTGGCCTGACCTCGGTGCCGGTTTCTTCATCTGTAAAGCAGGGTGAATGCTAGTGCCCAGGTCTTGGGGTGGTTGGGAGCATTTAGGGAGATGAGGAGGAGGCAAAGAGAGATTGTCACTGGTGGTGGTGGGTTATTATTGCTCTTACTGTCACTAAGACTGCTGTGACCTCTGCAAGGGTAATGGGAGTCTTGGTGCCTCTCCCGATGTGCACGGGGGGTGGGGTGGGCGGTGGGCGGTGGTCCAGTCAGTCAGTGGTCACGCTGGAGGCCACAGGCCATCCTGCTGACCCCTCTCTCTCTGCCTCTCCTGGGCAGGGATTCCTGAGGACTCCAAGGTGGAGGGCCCTGCATTCACAGACGCCATCCGCATGTACCGCCAGTCGAAGGAGCTCTACGGCACCTGGGAGATGCTGTGTGGGAACGAGGTGCAGGTGAGGCCAGAGGAGCTGGTGGGAGACGTGGGAGGTCACCCCGGAGCCTAGGGGGCAGGGCTGGGTACAGAGGCAGGCCTCGGGGGCACTGCAGATTTGGAAAGAGATACCTACTCAGATTTGGGCAAGTGGGGCCGATCCAAGTGGAGATACTTATTTTGTGTAGTCATTTACTGTGCATTTACCCCGGGCTGGGTGCCAGGATGTAGCAGTGAACAAGGTGTACATAGCCCTGGCCCTCAGGGAGCAGGAGAAATGGACATTCAGGAAATAAACACAAACTTGCATGTGTGGGCAGAGGGGGGAGGGAGTGCAGGATTCCAGATGTGGGAGGCAGCATGTGCAAAGGCCCTGAGGTGGGACCCCTGAGTCTGAGGATCCTGCAGAACACCCAAGCAGGTTAGTCTGGGACTTGTGGGAAGGATGCTCAGGAGAGAGGGCTGTGGCTGTGTGGAGCAAAGGGCCAAGCCCAGAGGAGGTGGGGGCAGCTTGAGTGGCCGGGCTTGCCCAGAATGGGGAGAGAAAGGTGCAGGCTGGACATGCTCCAACTTCTGCCCTGGCTGTGCCTTCTGGCCCTAGATCCTGACCAACCTGGTGATGGAGGAGCTGGGCCCTGAGCTGAAGGCAGAGCTTGCCCCACGGCTGAAGGGAAAACCTCAGGAGCGGCAGCGGCAGTGGATCCAGGTGGGTGGGCCTGGGACCTGGCAGGTGACAGGGGTCGGCAGCTGGCCTGGGGTCCCATGCCCTGGTGCTGATGCTGCTGCTATGCTCTGCCTGCAGATCTCAGACACCGTGTACCGCATGGTGTATGAGCAGGCCAAGGTGAGCTTCGAGGCCGTGCTGTCCAAGCTGCAGCTGGCCCGGCCGGCCATGGAGGCAGTCATCCGCACCGACATGGACCAGATCATCACCTCCAAGGAGCATCTGGCCAGCAAGATCCGAGGTAGGCAGGCCGCACACCATGCCTGTGTGGCCCCTGGGCCCGACGGTGCTTGGACCACAAGCCCTCCTGGGGCCAGGGTGAACTTCCTTTCCAGTTTATGATCCATGTAAATTTCACAGAAATGACTTGCTCATTGGTAGTTTTGAAAAATTAGAATCAAATCTTAGGCATTGTTCCTCCAACCCCTGTGAATTGTTTTGTGGCTGTTTTTTCTTTAAATTCAGATGCTGAGGATGTAGATTTTTGTCCAGGAGGTTCAAGCCTTCTGTTCATCTTTGGGTAACACAGATTTTACCACGTCATTTTAGTGGACATCAGTTTAACTCTGTGATGATTTAAATTTGGCAAGTGTAACATTTCCAGGTCTGTTGACTACAATCCTTTCTGTTCCTGGCCAGATGGGAGCCTCCCTCCTGCTCGTCCCCAGTCACACATCCACAGAGTCTGGTTTTAGCACCTCTCAGTTTCTAGCTGTATTCATTGGGAGCTGGATAGGACACAGAGTTGACGTTTATTGTGTGGAACAAACAACATTAGCTGGGCAGGGGTGGAGGTGGACATCAAAACACTGCTGGGTAAAAACACTTTGCTCAGAATGTTCTGGAGATGGCCCCTGCCCACAGGAAGAGAGCCTTTTACATAATGATGTTTATTGTGTGGAACAAACAACATTAGCTGGGCAGGGGTGGAGGTGGACATCAAAACACTGCTGGGTAAAAATGCTTTGCTCAGAATGTTCTGGAGATGGCCCCTGCCCACAGGAAGAGAGCCTTTTACATAATGACGCAGAGCCAGGCCACACCATTCCAGAGCAGGATTGCTCAGTTTTTGTGAAATCCAGAAGCTCATCAAATCTAAAGTGTTTTTTTGTTTTGTTTTGTTTTGTTGTTTTTAAACAAAGGCGAAAGAGCCTCAAAGATGAGCTTCTCTCTACCTCTAGCTAAGCAGAAAACTGCTGACACCTTTGGACTAGCAGTTTTCTTAGTTTCTTGCCATCTCAGTTTTAGAAATGTCAGGGTCCAATCTCGGAATACCTGCTATTTTTACTGCATGGATTTGTTACCTTTATGAACTGTCTCTCTGGAATTGTCCCCCTTGCTAATATTGCCACCAGTGGTTTTCTTTAAGAATAATATGACAGCATGCCTCTAGCGTCAGGTTCTGGGATGGCTGGGGGGTGCTCATGGGGAGCACGGCCCCTCACCACTGACCAGCTCCCTCTGGGTGCAGCGTTCATCCTCCCCAAGGCTGAGGTGTGTGTCCGGAACCACGTCCAGCCCTACATCCCGTCCATCCTGGAGGCCTTGATGGTGCCTACTAGCCAGGGCTTCACTGAGGTGCGAGACATCTTCTTCAAAGAGGTCACCGACATGAACCTGAATGTTATCAATGAGGGTGGCATTGACAAGCTGGGCGAGGTGAGGCTGGGCATGGCCCCCAGGGTGGGGGGCTCCTGGGTTTGGGTCTGGTCTGCCTCTACAGGGCCCTCACTGTGCGACTTAGGATGGGCCACTCCCCTCCCAGGTAAACAGAGGCCAAAACTGTTGGAAGTCTGGGGGGGTGGGGAGGTCTAGCAGTTAGAGGCAAGAGCAAAAAATAACCCCCTGCCGCCAGCTTGTTTAAACCAGGAGGATTGCTAACATATGCAAGAATTTAATGGAGAAGAGAGGGAAGGAGGGGAGGAAAGGCGAGCTCCAGACACGAGCACTACAATTACAAAGTAGAGTTAAGTACATCATGCCAGTCATGTAGCCCACAGTGGAGACTGCCCATCTCTCTCCTTGTCCTCGGGCATGTGGCCCTCGAGGTGGACGTCCTTCCACAGTCCCTGTGTTGGGGTAGTTAACTGCCTGGAGCCACAGAGTTGTCAGGTATAGATAGAATTTATCCTTGGCTGCCCCCTTTACACTCCCAATTTGGGCGTGCACAAACAGTAATAATCACAGAATTGGAGAACAGGAAAGGACCTTAGAGATCATGATCCCAATTTCGAGGCTCAGATAGGGTGAGCTGCTGGGCTCCCACACCCGCCCTGCCATCAGATCCTCACGCTTCCTGGCCTGGGGCCTTTCAGGCTTACCTTTGTGGGCATCACCCCCAGGCGGCCGTCCCTGGTGGCCAGTGTCAGCCTCAGGGCCCAGGCAGGGTGTGACTGGCTCCTGGCTCCCGGGGTGGCCCTGCTCAGGCCCCGCACGTCCCTGCCTCCCTGCAGTACATGGAGAAGCTGTCCCAGCTGGCATTCCACCCCCTGAAGATGCAGAGCTGCTATGAGAAGATGGAGCCCCTGCGGCTGGACGGGCTGCAGCAGCGCTTCGACGTGTCCAGCACATCCGTGTTCAAGCAGCGAGCCCAGATCCACATGCGTGAGGTGGGCCCGAGGCAGCTGCCACCGGCACCCCACTCTGCTCACCTCCCCCCAGGGGCCCCTGTCGCCCAGGAAGAGGCCCTTCTCCCTGTTCCCTGCCATGCTGCGGTAACTTGCCCCGCAGGCACTCTCCTGCTTGGGTCTCTGCTTATCTCTAATCTGGCTAACGACTCATCTCCAGGCCTCGGCTTAGAGACCCCTTCTTCCGGGAAGCTCTCCTTCCTTCCCTAAGCCCCTTCCTGTTTCCTGTTTCCTTGAGGCAGGGGCTGGCCCCAGCGTCCAGCTCTGTGCCAGGCACACACAGACCCTCGTTAACTTGTGAGCGAGTGATTGAGGGGAGGAGCACACAGGCCCCCCCCCATCCTCCCGCACAGGCCTGGGGTAGGGGCCAGGTGAGAACCCCCTCAGCAGCGGGCAAGAAGGGGCTGTGGTCACTCCCTGGGCTTCATGTGCCGTTAACTTGTGAGCGAGTGATTGAGGGGAGGAGCACACAGGCCCCCCCCATCCTCCCGCACAGGCCTGGGGTAGGGGCCGGGTGAGAACCCCCTCAGCAGCGGGCAAGAAGGGGCTGTGGTCACTCCCTGGGCTTCATGTGCCCTGGGCTGTGCCCTGCAGCAAATGGACAACGCCGTATACACCTTCGAGACCCTCCTGCACCAGGAGCTGGGGAAGGGGCCCACCAAAGAGGAGCTGTGCAAGTCCATCCAGCGGATCCTGGAGCGGGTGCTGAAGGTGAGCGGCCTGCCCTGCCCGCGACCCATCCCAAGTGTGCCTGAGCCCTGAGCCCTGAGCCCGAGCCCAATCCCAGCCACTGTAAGGATTGCCACCCCTGCCGGGAGGCGTCACTCATCCCCTTGGGCAGATGAGGACTCTGAGGCTGGGCTCAGACCACTGGCCGCCAACCTCCTTGGTGGAGCCACTGACCTAGAGATGCTGTTCCCTGTATCCTTCCTTCTCTGCAGAAATATGACTATGACAGCAGCTCTGTGCGGAAGAGGTTTTTCCGGGAGGCGCTGCTGCAGGTCACCATCCCGTTCCTGCTAAAGAAGCTGGCCCCCACCTGCAAGTCGGTGAGCGCACCCCCACCCCACCTGCCCCCGCCCACCCGCTGTAGCCTCTTAGGCCCTGGGGGGGGGGGCCCC